AGCGGTAAGTTGGTTATTACAAACGAGTAGAAGTCTCGGGCTTACCATCGTCATGAGTTTGTAAATACAAAATCTGCACGAATGTAACACAAGAGCAGTAAGTATACCTAATTTAAGTATTGAAACAAATTTTTTCTAATAAGAAAATGGCGCCACGTGAGACGGGCCAAACAACGGAGCTTGCGGTAAAATGTTTTACCGCACGCTCCGTTGTTTGGCCCGCAATTTTGATCTTTCGACCAATGTATTGAACTTGTGCATTTCACTGCTGGATTTTCATACCGAAACATTTTTTTTAATAATTTAAGTCTGTCTTAGGATGACTTATCATCCCATTTCTTCACATTTTCTGTAATGAATCTATACTAATATGACAAAGAGAAAATATTTGTCGTTTGTTACTAATAAATATAAAAACTACTGAACCGACCTCAAAAATTCTTTCTCCATTGGAAAGCTATATGCAAAGCAAAGCCGGGGTGGATGACTAGTAAGAGATGCTTTTACAAGTAACGAACATTCGAAAAAAGAAAATAATATACCAATGTAATTTTATTAGACATATTTTTATGCCTGTTTTTATTGAAGCAAATGACGCAATTTCATCCATGACTGATAGATACATTTTTATATCTTAAGAAAATCTTTACCTAGCAGTTGTGAAGTAAGCTTTTTTATTTTCATTACAGGAAAAATGAAAGTCAACAACCTTTCCAATTTTATTGTTTTCGTTTTACGAATTTTCGATTAGTTCACGTGTCCTGGTGCGAGTTTAACAGTTTTTACCCATTACAAAAACGTGTATAACGCCGCTAAAGAAGTTTTCACTTCAAAAAAATGATTGAATCAAAATTAATAAGTCACAACAAAATACAGATATTATTAAATTATACAATATAATAACACAATTAAAATCAAATTACAATAAAATTCAATAAAAGGAAATGGCACATTAGCTTATTTTTAAAGTTGGAAATGTCACCCATGATTAAGTTCAAATCGTTGGTCTTGCTCATGCTATTCAGCTCTTTGATAATTCGATTTACAGGCGCATTTTGGCCAAGATTAGAACTGCGGTAAGATTCCACGAAAATATTAAATCTTGAGGAGCGAGGAAGTTTTAATGGAGTCGAAAATGTCAGAGTTTGCACTAACTCAGGAGTATCCAGGATGCCATAAGGTAGTTTCTAAAGAAATAATAAGTCCAGCATGCGTCTTCGATCCCAAAAGAGAACAAATTTTAAAATGATTCTTAATGGAGAACTGTCCAACTCAGATTACAGGAGTATGTAAGGGGAAATTGGGCAAAAATGTATCGACGCTGCACCCACGTCCGCCACGGCTTAAACTACATTTGTTTGAAAGGTATTATAGTCATGATCATCTGTGTCAAAGCGCATCAAATTCCATCCCGGGGGTCTTTAGTTATTTTAAATTAAATAGGTACAAATACTATAACGAACGAACATTGATGAAATAGTGGAATTAATTTAGTTAGTTAGTTCGACACTATATAGGGGGCTCAGGTATTATGGGAGTACTTTACAAGGTTCAAGGGTGCCCCCTTATGTTATTCTGCCGCACTATAGAAATCCAAAAATCCCCGCATGGGTTGGGGTTTTGTCATACATTCTGTTCGTTATACATAGTAAATTGTCTTCTTTGTAAAACGGAGCGATCACAAATCACCCAAACTTGTCCATGTTTCGGAGAAAACATGATTTCAGTTCATCCATACTAATTGACAAAACCGTATTTGATAAAAGTCAATCAAGTGTCAGAGAGCGCACAATCACAACGAAGTAAGACGAGTGGACTATTTGCAACTGCAAGTCCTTCAACACCCGTAAACCTTTTTGAGGTGGCTCAGTAAGTGCAAGCTCAGGATTGTCGGCAGGCTTTTCGTATATCTGGTTGTATAGTACGTTAAGGCATATTATTATGGTTACTAATAATATAAAAAATAAAGGCACTATAAAATGAATTTATTTAGCTTCTTAAATATCCCCATGTATCATATCTTTTGACTACCAGGGTATTTTTTACGGTGCAATATCTTTTGACTACCAGGGTATTTTTTACGGTGCAATATCTTTTGACCACCAGGATATTTTTACGGTATCATTTCTTTTGACTCCCAGGATATTTTTTTACGGTGTCATAATAAAAAAGGCTAGTTTTTCATAGATCTATCGATTCATACTAATTACATTGTTGGCGGAGCTAGGTGCGTTTTGCCCATTGTCCTTTGTTGAAAAAGTCTCTTTTTTATATACTTCATAAAATGGATTCCAGACTACACTTCAGTACTCTAAACCACTGCGTTCCAAAGAATTGAACAAAATTATCTTAGTTTTAGGAGACCTATAATGTGTAATGGAACAACCAATGCAACTTTCTACTCGGACGGAAATGTGCCAGTTGTGAGTGATTTATTGAATATAAGAGTCCAAGGGTTGCGCCAAGGCTGCAGTACATCTCACAACAAATAACAACGTAAGACCATCAGAGCCAGGTCCCTTATTAGGGTCAAGTCTTTTTAACCCTTTTATCATCTGATCGTCTTTGAATTTGATAGTGGTGAGAAAGCTATTTGTAACACATTCAGGAATTCTTGTCGGTGGAGTGGTGTTTTTATTGTTATAGACACATGAAACGTTTTCCGCGAACAAATCACATATCTCAAAACCATTAGTGGCTGTTTTTTATCAAGGGTCATTTGTGCTGGGTCTGTCTGTCGTTCTTTTAATTTTAATGAAAGAATAGAAAAGTTTAGGATTATTCTGCAAGTTATATATTATATATCTTCTAATATAGTCATTGTTTTTGACCAAATCGAAGGAGAGTTTGTCGAGCGGGTTGTAATTATATTTGCGTAGTTTGTTACGGTATTTGAGTTTTTCTTTTAAAAGTTTTTTACTTTCGATTTAAGTTAAGATTTAGGAACGTGCCTTTGAATAGCACTACGTATAAAATTATAAAATATTGAGAGCATGTCGTCCACGTTGGAGCAATTTTTAAATTCGTCTTCCCAACATACATCATTAAGATACATTATAATATTTTCTATATCTGCCTTGTGAAAAGAAAATTTATTATGTTTACTGTATGATAAGGTGCTTTTGATGTTCAAAGGTAAGGTAAATTGTAATGGAGGATGTAAGAGATAAATAGAAATGAGTTGGTCATTAATGATTTTTAATTCTGTATCCTGTTTGTTACTTAGAACCAGGTCCAAGATTCTACCTGTTCTGTTATTTAATGAATCATTGTATTGCTTTTAGTCGTGCAGCATGGCAAAGTCCATAAATATATTACAGAGTATACTATTATTTGCACCGCTAAGTAATTTTAATGAACTAGGAAAGTTCTAATTAATGTTGCCTAGATTGAAATCCTCTTCAAACTTCTTTATATGCAGAATATGGTAACGAATGGTGATACAGAGAGAAGGAGCATCCTATATTCTTACCCAGTGGGGTGTGCATATTTATAATATTTTGCTCTATGGCCCCGTCCGAGTTGCTAATGAGTAAGGATATGCATTTGAATAAAATCAAGCCTAACCCACAAGACCTCGCAATTGGATTCAAAGCCCTGCAGGCGTCTGGAATGAATATGGATGTTTGGAGGTAGCGATAAAACACCACTTCCATTTTTCCTAGAGTGAAATCCACTGGTATCTAGAAGTGGTGTTTTATCACTTTTTGACAATCAACAATTGTCAAAAAGTTCCAAATCGAAAACGCTGCTATTAAACCAAGTCTAACTTAAAATAACTACATCGTAGGTATTGCAAATAATGCTATTATAAAATCTTCGGTTTCAGTTTTGAAGCCTCATTTTGATAATAAAATTTCAACATATACTTGTATACTATATTTAACAATCAGACCAAGAAAGAATACTAATGAGAATAAAAAGAAAATGTACTATGGGTAGATAAGCTTATATTATGACAAATTGTCTAAAGCGTGTGAATCTTTAACATGGATAAAATTCGAGCTATCAGTTCTACGTACAAAGACTTTGCCGTCTCTTACCCACACGAATATCAGGGTTCTTTGAAACTTTACCCCTAACGGGGTGAAAGGGGATAGCGAATTTTACTGGGGAGAACTTTACTGCAGGGCTTGATTAAAGCGGAAAAGGTCTGAACGAAGTTAAATAAAAATTGGAATACATATAGTTTATTACCTGAATTGAGATAGAAGATAAATTTTGTCCCCAAAAAAGTTAGGTTTTCGAGCAATTTTCAAAAATTAAAGTTAACAATTCAATCTTCAATTCAAATTTATTTATTTCGACCAAACAAGGATCATAATTAAAATCATTACATTTAATATTCAATCACATAAATATTAAACTAATCATAATAATAATATAATATAATATAAAATAAAAAGGTGGACGAAGTCGGGGGCGACGCTAGTGTATTTATTAAAGTGTTATTAATTAAATCATATATAACATTTATATAACAAAAGCTTCAAAACTACTTAATGTCTAAAAATGGTATACATTAACTAGGCAAAGAATAAAATAGAAAATAATATTTATAATATGTCATACATTGCCTAGACGCCCCTGAATTATACAGATTGCCGGTGTCATAATACTCTCCGTGATAGGTTTTTTTGTTCTATAGCATTATATTTTTACATACCTATTTTGATGTATTGATACTTCAACGCACTTAAGTATACAATCACTTTTCCCGAGGTTTTGCCATATAAAATACAAGCCATTGCCTGCAAATTGGAAAGCATTAACTTCGGAATTGTGTATGAGTTATCTTACTTATATTTATTTTGAGCGTACACAAACGGCTGGTGTATTGCGACAGCGGTTAAAGGAAAAGGTAATCTTGAGAAACAAATCGGTTCTACACCATCTGCTCGTGAATCTCTTACAAACATAGCTTACTTTTGTGTTCTTCCGGTAAATAATGGTTGGATGCCTTTTTGCCCATATATGTGACAAATGGGGGTTGGAGTTGTATCGGAGTGGTGCGGCGCAACAGATATCCGTTGTTGCATTAAAGAATGTTGCCAGATCATTTATTTTTACCCCATAAAAAGGAGCGTTTCCTTTACTCAGAGCAAAATCAATCTGAACTACTTAATAATAGCTGATTAGTTAAACAACAAAATCTAGAATTTATATAAGTACATATTACTTCAAATAAGCGTGAAAACCCAAGTTTAAAATCAACTCACATGAAATCTTCATTCAGAACGATTCCGTTCACTTATCTACTGGTTTATTTGGTAAGTAAAAAGCTCACAGATGTCAGTCAAATAAAACACCCGTTATAGCCCGACCTTAAAAAGTGGTCGTAATTTTTTTAAGCGCGCACTGGTAATTCGTAGCTCGACTGGCATCACCCTCGTAGCAGTCTCTCGTAGGGTCGGCTACGATGTAGACGGCCGTTGCGACCAAAGAGCGCTACGGTTCGGACTTTTCTTTGCGGTTTCCGCGAGTGTTGGCGGTTTCGATTTGACACACATTTTCGAGTGCGATAAAAGTGCAGTGCTTTTCGAACTTCGTTTAAGTGAAATGTGTAGATATATAATCGTTATTAAAGTTATTGTTGATTATAGATAGCGTTTAACGTTATTCCTCTAAAACTGGTATGATTTTTAAAATATTATCATCATCATCAAAGATTTCAATTTTATAAAATTAGTTTTTGATATTATATTTATCTGTATAGAATAAATTTATCTCAAAATTACCAAGCGATTATATTTTGTGAACTAGTCAAGTTTTAAACGTTAGCTCTGTTATTCAATAGGTAATAAATGTTGAAACAATCTGCGTTTTGGACAAATCGTTTATTCATTATAAGAATCAGGAGTGTAACATAATATTTAATATAATCACATTTTCGGTAAGAGCGTAACATTGCAAGCACAGTACAGCGAGAAGAGAGCAACCAGAGACTTTTATTTTTAATAATAGCTATGACATAACAGTTTATAGCATTGGCTTACAGTATTGATACTTATCATATCCAACACTCCCTCTCAATTTCAAATTTACTACAAAATTTTAAATTGCACTTACACAAAGTATGAAATTATAACTTTATTAAGATTGTTTTACACAATGTTCTACAAATTCTTTTACATATCGTTATCATAAGTTTACATAATATATCAAATCAGAATTATGTTAATTATACATTTTTATTACCACGTTATACAATAAAAACTTTTACAAATTTGTTGAATATTTCTTTACACAAACCTTTTGTTAATAAATCAGCAATATTATTTTCAGTACTTACATAATTAATTTTTATAATATTTTTCCTCACAAGATCTTTAATATAATGGAATTTAATATCAATGTGTTTTGTTCGTTTAGAGTTCTCGTTACACTTTGCCATCATTATTGCACCTTGATTGTCCACTAAAAGCACTGAATTTACACTGTCATTAAAATTTTCACAAATACCTTTTAAATTTACTAATTCTTGGGCTGATGTTGCAGCAGCTATATATTCAGATTCTGCTGACGAAAGCGAAACACATTTTTGCTTCTTTGAAAACCATTGGACAGGATTTCCTTTATAAAATATTATTCCACCACTTACACTTTTTCTATCTATCTTATCTGCCCCCCAATCTGCATCTGAGTAAGCAATTAAATCATTTTCTTGACTTTTCTTAAACAGTAGTCCTCTGTATTTAGTATCTTTTATGTATCTCAATATTCTTTTTCCTGCTTTCCATGTCTGTTCAGTGGGTTTTTCTATAAAACGACTTAAATATGACACTGCATATGTAAGATCTGGTCTTGATGTCATTGTAATGTATATCAAGCTTCCCATCAATTCTCTGTAAGGCAAGTCTTTTCTTTCTTCTTCATTTTTTATGTCTAAGTTTGATTCTATTGGTGTACTTATACCTTTGCACTCTGTCATTCCAAATTTGTTTAAAATCTTCTCTATTAATTTAGTTTGCTTTATAATTAGTTTATCTTCTTCTTTATAAATTTCCATACCCAAAAAGTTCTTTATTTCTCCTAAGTCTTTAGCATTAAAATGTTTCTGTAATGAATTTACTATATCTTTTGTGTCTCCAATTAAAATAATATCGTCTACATAAATTATCATCCAGCAATTATTCTTATAATATAAGCAATAATCATAATTTGATTGTTTAAATCCATTTTCTTTTGCAAATTTATCTATAGTATCATTCCAACACTTTGGTGATTCTATCAAACCATATAATGCACGCTTCAATTTTAATACTGTGTTAATTTTATTTGAACATTCTAAACCTTGAGGAACATTAATATAAACTTCTGAATTTAACTTTCCATTCAAAAAAGCAGTAGGTATATCTAACTGTCTTATTTCTAAATCTTCTTGAATTGCTTTAGATAACATCATTCTTACTGTCGATAGTCTAGCTACCGGTGCATACATTATTTCAAAATTATTATTTTGTTTTATCTGATACCCTTTGGCAACTAATCTAGCTTTTTTAGTTCCGTCTTCTTTTACTTTGAATACCCATTTTGTATCCACTATTTTTGTATTTTTAGGTTTATTTACTTCTTCCCATGTATCTAAGTCATTTAATGCTTTCAACTCTTTATTAATTGCATTTCTCCATTCCATATCCTTTGTCGCTTCCTCATATTCTATAGATTCTTCTCCTGAAATCATACAATAAGCAACATAAGTCTCATAATCATTGAATTTATTTGGTTTTCTTATTTTTCTTCCATATTTAGATATTTTATCATTCATTTCATTTGTAATTTCTTTGTTTTCATTATCTATGTCTTCAATCATTTCATTTTCTTTATCTTCATTTGTATATACTTGTGTATTTTCTTGTATTACTTTTATGCCATCTGAGATTTCTTTTATTTCTCCCTCTGAATTATTACTGTTTTTATCTTCCAAATATACATATTTACTTTCATCGAATATTACATCTCTTGATCGTATTAATTTATTTTCATTTGAACACCACAATCTGTATCCTCCTAGATCATATCCTACAAATATATATGATTGTGCATTTGGATCTAATTTGCTTGTTCTTTTCAAATTTACTGCCCAACATTTACTACCAAACACTCTGAGTCTTGATAAGTCATTTTTACCATACCAAATATCTGATGGTGTTTTTCCATTCAATGCAACTGTTGGAGATCTATTCAACTCATAAGCTGAAGCTTTTATTGCTTCGCCCCATAAAAATTTTGGTAATTTTGTATCCAAAAACTTTGTTCTAACTTTATTCATTAAAGTTTTGTTCATCCGCTCAGATTTTCCGTTTTGCTGCGGAGTATATGCCATAGTATATTGTAATTCAATTCCTCTATTTTTACAATAATTTTTAAATCGATCTGAACTAAATTCTCCACCATTGTCTGTTCTTATGGCTTTTGTTCTAACGTTAAATGTACTTTTTAATTCTTTTATGTAATATATTAAGTTTAACTCAGCTTCACTTTTCCTTTTTAATAAATAGACTTGAGTAAAATGCGAATAGTCATCAATGATTACCTGAAAATATCTATACCCTGCTGGTGTTTCATCTTTTATAGGTCCTGATATGTCTGTATGTAATAACTCACCAATTCTTTTACTTGTATTATAATTATTGTCGAATGGTAATCGGCATGCTTTTCCTTCTATACATGTTTCACATTTTTCCTTACTAACTGGTAGGCCAAGTATCTTCATACTATTTCTATTTAAGTGACCTAGTCGCTGATGCCAAGTATTCGCTGTAATTGCTTGGTTCACATGAACAGTTTCTATATCAACTTGTAGTGTATATAATTTGTTTACTTGAGGTGCTTGAAATCTTATTCCTTTATAATTATTATATAGTATTATGCCTCTTTTATTTATTTTAATTTCAAAACCTTTGTTTATTATTTTTGATACTGATAATAAGTTAAATTTCAATTCTTCAACAATCAATCCACCTTCAATGTTTATCTCTATTCCATCTATTTTAACTAATAAGTCACCAACTTTATATGCCAACATGCACTTGCTGTTTGCAACAACTATTTTTATAGGTTTCTCTAAAACTTTTATGTTTGTCATATATGTCTCTAAATCATTTTTTATTAAGTGTTCTGTAGCTCCAGTATCTAATATAAACTTTTCTTTTTCTGTATTAATGTCTGTATTCAATGCAACAAATGTGAGAAAACTTCCTTTATTTATTTCATTATTAGTATTTGGTTCTCTATTATTTACTCTGTAATTTCTTCCTTTATAATTTCCTCTAAATTTTCCACGCTGTATGTTAAAATTGTTAGTATTACTCCTGCACTCGTTTGCCTTGTGACCTTTTTTATTACATTTGTAACAGATTATAGCTTTAAATGCAACTGATCTTGTCTCTTCTTTAATTTCATTTTTGTTATTGCACAATTTCAACTCTTCATCAAGTAATCTAGCTTTTACAAATTCAAGTGTAATGGTTTCGGTAATGGTCTCTATGGCTGTAATTACTGTATTGAATTTCTCTGGTAAACCAATCATCAAATAACAAATTTTGTCTTCTAATGCTATCTGTGTGTCAAGCGATTCTAGCTCACGTGTCAAGTTATCATATCTCTGAAAATAATCTTCTAGTTTTTCTGTGTCGGCCATTTTTAATGTTAAAAGTTGCCGTCGTAATCGTAATTTAGACAATACACTTTTTCTTTGAAAAATCCTTGATAATGTTTCCAACATATCTTTCGCTGTTTTGCAGTCTTTTATTATGTTTAAGTATTTATCGGATGTACACTGCACTATAATTAACTTTGCCTTGGCGTCATTTTTGTTATAATTTTCCAATTGTTCTTTAGTCAATTTACTACAATCAGTGTCTAAATCGCTTACTTGTCTTTCGTTCAATAAACATTTTAGTCTAAACATCCAATTATCGAAATTAACTGCCTTCAATTGCGGATATTCGAAGTGGCTTGAGGACGCCATTGTAGTCCAATATGACACACTTTATTATCATGAATATATGTTACTACTCACGGATTCCGCTGTTCCCATAACCTGTTGAAACAATCTGCGTTTTGGACAAATCGTTTATTCATTATAAGAATCAGGAGTGTAACATAATATTTAATATAATCACATTTTCGGTAAGAGCGTAACATTGCAAGCACAGTACAGCGAGAAGAGAGCAACCAGAGACTTTTATTTTTAATAATAGCTATGACATAACAGTTTATAGCATTGGCTTACAGTATTGATACTTATCATATCCAACAATAAAAACTTTAACCATTTCTAGGGTGTTATCATGTACCTGGAATTTAACCGATAAATCGAAAAAGTTGTGTAAACTTTTTTCATTAGCTATTTGGCTCACGTTTCTGCAAACACAACAGCGCTTACGAAATTTTTAAACAACAAAAAGTCGTTAAAATCATAGCTCATTTTTATATTTTTTTATTACGGAAATGTTGGAATAGCCATTAGTCTTCGTTGGTACTCTGTTTTTTTAAATTAATGGATTGTGAAGTGATTACTCGCTAATACTTAGTGAGTTTTAAATCTCGTGTAATAAAGAATTTCTCATCAGTCTGTTACCACTACTCATGGAATTCCAGATCATTTGAGTAATAGGCTTCTCACTCG